CCTTTTCTTTAATAAGTTTTAAAAGCTATGTAACATTATGACCCCGTTTGGTTGTGCATTATTGCACCTTTCGACCAATATCACACATTGTTGGTCTTGTAGTAATTGTCACCAACTACATTTGCAACTTTCTATTTTAAGTAAACTACATATGTATTTTTCATTTAAGAATTGAAAATTACTAAAGGTTTGTTTATACAAGGAGGATCCATATATGAAATTTCAGACCATTGATTTATTCTAACTCAAATCTAAGGGTTGATATGAAATCAAATACTCTTATTTATTGACATTTAAGGAATGATATGCAACAAGTAGAAATTAACAAGAAAAATAAGTTTTAAAAAAATTGTAATTAGATCATGATCATAGTATGAAATCCAACACTATTTTAAATTAATCTATTGGCTCATAGGATATTTTAAAATATCTTATTGTGAAATTTTCTTAAGAAATAAGATCATTCGTTATCGATTTAGATGACATGTAAGCGTGATTAAGGTATATAGTCTGAGACAAATTTATATTATGCCATTAATCATCATTAATATTGTTTGAAGTCCATAATATCATCGGTTCAAAGGCATGGTTTATTTCACTTCCCACATCGTTGGAGTCCTTGGAGAAGCCTACTACTTTGATGAGAATCATGGAGGAGTCCTATTTGGAAAATTTATTGCGACCATGCATAGATTCAATTCAATCTATAGCAGAATCAATTTGGAAAATTTTTTGAAAATAAGAATGTTATAGTGCCAACCACCGCACCTAGATTAATTATTTTATTTTTAAATATAATGGCTCGTGATAAGCCATCAATATACAACTGATGTTCAATTCAGATTATTGGTAGTCAAGATTCCTCTAAAAATGTCCTCAATTGGAAGACACATATATTCATTATAAATTGTTAAAGATTGGCCCTTGCGATATTTACTTTAATTTTTTTTTTAAAGTATAAAGAGCTATATTGTGGTATATTGTGGTTTTTCACTTTACCAACATGTATGATTTTCTGTCTATTCTTAAATACCCTTTTTTTCTTTTTTTAATATTCTCTCATTAAAAGGAATTAACAAATGGCCATGAGCTTAGTAAAAAGGAGTTTTTTTTTTAATATATAAAATACATGATGATATAGTATACCTGGAAAGCATCATGAATTTTCAATTTTCTTTTTCATAACTAGGAGACTTGATTTCTTTTTCAAAAGTGATCGTCATAAAAAAAACCCTAGATAGTTTTGTGAACTGTCTTTCTACTATAGTTATTGTTATTGTGACGTGGAATAATTGCAAAATATTGTATGGCGTACGTAATATATTTACAATCACATTTGTCATTTTACCGTAGGCAAACACGATCATCATGTAATTTATATATAATCAAGAATTATGCATGCTATAAGTACATAAATAAAATAGATTTTTTTGGCCGATGAAAGATTACTATGTTTTGGCCTTTTACCCATAATCAAGTATTTAACTAACAACTAACTAATAGGCATTAATCGGCTACCATCGCAATTTCTGAAATATAGGAGGAAACTAAATTTAATTGACATATTTGTGTTGTCTAGTACAAACAATTTTGTAATTGAGATTCGTTGTTTTTTCAAAATTTTAAGAGGGATTAAAAAGCGTATTATTATTTGACATTTGCAGTGTTTTCTTATTTTTATTTTAAATTTGATAGGGATAACAAATTTTAAGGAAAAAAAAACTAATCACAAAAACAAGAAAAACTAAGAAAAGGATTAAAACACACATAAAAAACTGAAAAAAGAGGGAAAAAAAAACACAAAGAGAGATCGAACGAAAAAAATCAAGGAAATTAATGACACCATTCAAGCTGTTTGTGCGTCGACTACCAGTAAAGGTAACTTCGGAACGTTACGCGAGTCTGAGACATGGACAGCAATATAAAAAACCTAGTTTCCTGTGAAAATTTGAAGCTTCCAATGTACGTTTCCAGTTTCCGACAAGAAATTCCAGATTCCAACTTTCATTTCTTATAATTTTGCTTCAATCCAGTCTCGTACGACTTTCACCAATTCTCGATTGCTTTTTCTTATTCTCGATGGTATACTTAGATCCATGGAAATTACTAGATATCGTAATAAAGCACAGTCTTCAACAAGTTGTTTACAGAAACTCATAATAGAGATTGGTCTGGCTTTTTTAAGCACGTTTTCCACGAGGCTATAATGCCAGTGCTGATTTATTTGCTAAGAAGGGTTGTTCATCTATACATTATAGTGTTTTCTTCGTATTTGGAACATGAAACCATTCACTTGCTGATATATGTATATATCATTCATTAGTTGTTGTTCATCAGGGAAGCTAGTTTTTGTTCATAAAAATAAATAAATAAAATAAAAATCCAGTAGAATTTAACTCATAATTCCAAAATCTGTTGAGATTTTGGCATAAATCCCGCAGGTCAACCTGGATTATGAGTTATGATAGTTTTGTATGTGACCATGCTAGCTGCATTTAACCTCTGGATTAGCATTTTCTAATTCCTAAGAGAAAGTGATATCTTCCATAAAAATGTTCCCCGCCTGTTTCCATGGCATGCAATTCACCAAAAATTCTGTCTGGAATTTAATAACAACTAGCTCCACCTATAATAATCCCGCAAGTGAAAAACATAAAGCCCTTGGAATAGCATATCAAATACTATTATTAGTTGCCTTTTAGCACCAATCCAATAATTACTGCATGTTCACCATCTGTTAAGTCTCTTTGTTTTATGTATTTGGTTTGAACGACGCTCATCATCATTCATGTTCTTTATATCATGTACTTACAATTTCATAATGCAGTCTATTCTAAAGTTGTTCATTGCATTTAGAAGTAGGGTTTAGATCAATTAACATTCTTAAACATTATAGATAAATATTTTATATTTAATTTCACCTAATTGATTCAAAAAGTAATTCAACACACAATTTTCAATGATTGTTTCTTGGGATTACATATTACCATGTTATTATTTTTTTGTCCACATTCCAATAGTATTAGATTATTTTTTTATTTGATGATAAATATATTTTCGAGTCAATTTGGATATCAATTGATATTAATATTTTTTAAAATAATTTGAAAAACGCACTTTATAGGTTGACCTTAATGTATTTAAAAAAACTTAACAAATTTTTTTTTTATTTTCTTTTTTGATTGGAACAATCTCAGAAGTGACAAAAAAAAAAAAAAAAGAAGCCGAATTAATATTGCAAGTGACATTAGTTATAATACTGTTTGAAAGTGACTCTCTCCGACTCTTAAGAGTCCAATCTTAAACTGTTTGCCACTGATTCTTATTCTTAGAACCATTAACATCAGCACAAGATTCTTAAAGTGACTCAATCTTGCTGGTAAGAATACCAGGATTGCATGTAAAATAACTGAGTTGAGCTTTTTTCAATTAAGGATAGGCAGTTGCGTGCTTGTTGATTAGGTTTGTCTGTAAACCTACGAAAGTGTTGATAGATAGAGATGGTCTTGACACATGGGCCCTAGAAAAAAAGCAGCAGTTGAGCTATCGCATGTGTGAATGCTCACTAGATGCCTCTTCTTTTCGTGGCATGTGCTTAGACACCTTTTTTAATGATTGAGCATCATTGTGATGATGAAGATGAAATATTACTGACAATCTGTACAGAATCTGTCTTAAAAGAGGTAGAATGGTCCAAAAGTTGCTGCCAAAGTTTACGAGGCAAGCAGCTTCTTGGCTCCTCCCAAGATATCCCAGCTCTGTGATTGAGTAGTTACCAAGTTAATGGATCTTCTGTTCTGCTACTCGTACCAGGGTCCTTTGCCCTTGCCCCTTGGGCCTCTTTTTCTTGCGTTTGTCTAATCATTGTTTATTTGTTCAAAAGGATAGTCCTGATGCTTTGTGTCTCCTATGCTCTTCTTGCTTTTATATATATAAGAAATTTATAATATTTTGTCTCCCAATTTTATTTTTCTTTTTTTGAATCATTGTCTCCAAATCCAGTGTCTTGCTTGTGTTCTTCTTCTCCTTTTTTTTTTGGCTTAAATTGTAGATGTATTTTGTATTAAGTTGGGCATTTGCATAACTGTATTCCACCCATAATGCTCTGGACGAGCTAAATATTATATCTTAAGAAAAGTAGAACGGACCATTTCTCTATTGTTAGTCAAATACTGTCTAATAAAATTAGAAATTAAACTATATTTGACTAACGAATTGATCATAAGCGAGTCATTTTTAGATGAATTGAGTCGCACTTATTGAAATGAGTTAAATTTTATTATTTTCGATTCGAATAAAGTTATTTCTATCTCTATTATAAAATATGGATACCTGAATTAAAAAAAAAAAAAAGATTATAATTGTATCACGTTTTATTTAATTGGTGATTCAAAAATACACATGCTATGTATTTATAACATTTAACACACTTACATCTAAACAACGAGTCAACTGAAAAATAAAATATTTTGAGCAAACATACAAATGTAAATGCAAATGTCCAATTAGATAGTTCTAAGTTGAAAGTTGAACTAATTAATAAAATAATTTTAAGGAGTTAGTTTGGTGGTTAAAAAGATTTTTTTTTAATTTCTTAATTTCATAGATTCAAATGTTATAGTTAGTATTTAAAAGAATTTATTAATTTTTTTTTTAATATATTAGGTTGATATGAAGGATGCATTCTTAAAATCAGATTTAGTTTGGATTAATGTACAAGAGTCTCGTGGAATTGGGGGGGGGGGGGGGGGAACTATTTAACAAAGTGGAAAATTTGACGTCAGGTTAGTCCATACGGGCCAAGCCTGGGCAAGATAAGGCGAATTTTTATGAACATGGTAGGACCTAGGAACGGGATGGAATAGCTGGCCCAATAAAGTTTTGCTATCGACTCGGGCCATTTTGACCCTAAAAGCCCATCCGTCAGTTACTTATAAAAGCTAGGGTTTTGCGCCTGTCTCTGTCTGTCTCCGTCTTTGTCTCTCTACACTCCTTCAACCATGGCGAAGAACAGAAACAAGAAGAAGAAGACGAACGGCGCCGTTTCAATGGACGTTACGGAGTCCACTATTTCAGATCTCCCTCAAGGTAACTCTACTTATCATACTCTCCTTTTCTGTCCAGTTTTTATAGCTTCTGTTTGGTTCACAAGAAAAAGTAATGAAAGACAAGAAAATTGAAAATTGAAGCTTGAAAAATTGTACGTGCAGCGATGGACACGTCGGAGTCTGGAGCTCAAAAACCAGCTTCTGTCGCGTCTATTAGGTCCGTGCTAATATAGCTTGTAGTTTCACTTTATTGCTTATAATATTCAATTATGTCTTGAGTTTAGCTTGCAGCTTTTAGTCTACACAGCATACAATAATTGTTTTGAAGAAACTGCCTTTTCTGTTATAATTCTGTAATTAACCATGAATAACGAGGATTTGGGCTTTTTTGGAATGGAATTTCATAATTTTTCGCATTTCGGAGTTATGCTTTACAGTTTGTTTTAGGATACCGCATGTTTTAGAGGTTTGTCGCGAGAGCACAAGAATTTGTAGAATTTTTGTGTTAGCAGGATAGGTAGCTTAGCTCCGAGTTCTTCATGATATTCATGCCCATATTTAGTGTAATTTTTATGATAGCTGGATAGTAGCTTTAGGTTCGAGTTCTTCTAAATATTCATGCTTGTTTTTCGTCGATGAAGATGTAGAGGTTGGCATAGCTTTTGGAGTGTACGAAAAAAAGATGTGTCCTTTTAAAAGTTAATAAGGCAGTTTAGAGGTTGTTGCTCTTATGGTTTTGCATATAAGTTGCTTGTGTTTATTATTCTCATTCATGGGCATGGACATCTGTTAGACATGTTAATTGGAATCTCCATAACTTTACTTTTAAGGGCCTGTAGTACTTCAGGTTTCTGTTGAATGTCTTTTCTGCCAAGCTTAACTTCCAGCTCCAAGGAGATGGGACACTTCTTCTGATTTTTATCCTTTGGTTCTTCTTTTCAGCTCTTTGCATCCTGCTCAAGTTTTCCCTTTTTTTTTATTTTTTTAACTCTCTTTGCCTAAATCATGAATTCCTTTTGAAACAGAAAGACAAAGGGAAGACCAATGAAGAGATCAAAGAATGTTCGGAAGATGAAAGCAGTAGCAAAAGCTGTATCTAAAAATGAGAAGGCTGTTGAGAAAGGTTATAAGAAAGAGGGCAAAACAACGAGAACTCAATCAGCAAAAAAGTTGTACGAGTGAATAATGAAGAAATCCAATTTTTGTAATCACATCTTCCCTTCCATTTCCATGTTAATCTTATTATTTTCCTGTGCTGTGTGTTAGTGATTTAATTATTTTTCCTATCTTAGCGTAGAATTAGTTAAATTTATAGAAATCCAAATGGCCGAATGGTGATTAGATTCAATTGAACCGAGGGTTTATGCCCTCCTTAAGTGGAAATCTGAGAGGATTCTTTGGCTGATTCAAGAGAGTTGAGGAGTGTGAGGGGAGGAAATGAGCTTTGGAGGGAAACCTTAAACAGTCTTTGGTCGTTCTCTACTGAATTATTTCCCCATCGTTTCGTAGAGTATTGCCAAGGGGGAGGTCATGAAGAGACCTTGTCTTCAAACTCGGAAGATCAAATTTAGGGCAAGTTGCGTTCTGCATTCTGAGGTAGTCCCTGGGCTGAGACAGGAATTTGACTGTGTTTTGAGCCCTACCAACCTTTTCCCAGACCCGCTAGAATGACACGGAACGGAGCTGCGCAAGATGGTTTATCAGTGCTCTGTAAAATTACTTTACACTATTTTATATATTCTAATGTTAATTTTGAGGTTATTTTTCTTCTTCTTATTATTTTTTTTTAATGTGAATTGAATTTAAATGAATTGCAATTAGCTTACAAATCTCCAATGAAATTTGCAGTTTGTTCAAATTGGTTGGGTGGTAATTCTGCTCAAACAGGTTGGGTTGCAAGGTTAATTATACACCCTGATGTCTCAATTATAGAACTTGTAATTCAAATTTCCTACTCTCATTTGGGGATTGTAGATGCTTTTTTATACTACTAATTTTGAAATTAAACAACTTAAATCCAAAGACAAGATTGCAATCTTAACAATACATAATTTGAAAGGGGTGACTTATATTCGTTGACGATGGCGAATGTTTATAAATTGGAGTAACTTTGAAATTAAAAACCATATAAACCTAAAAAACAAGATTGCAAAGCTACTAATGTTTATATTCAGTGATGATTTATACAAAATGTTTTTATAGGAACTCAAGTCTTGAAAATTACAATCATAAATGAAGCACAAATCTACCAGTTACAGGATGAGGGATAAATCTACCAGCTTATTTGATTACTATATAAAAGCTTCATGTCTACAAAATCACCACACACAAACTATAACTTACAAATTACCGCCTACAAGCTATAACCTAACAAGTTTCATAAGTGTGCTCTGAGAGCTGTTTGTAAATTGCAAGTGTTTTTTAGTTTGTTTGTATGTTGTTAAGTTGTTTTTTTTCCTATTACATCTTATATTTATAAGCTTTCTATTCATTCATGATCTCTGTAATTGATCCACGTTCTTTTGCACTTTCTTATGCTGTTTTGCAATGTTTCATGTTCTCTTAGTAATTACTACAATTGTGTCCTATACGTGTATTTCTTCGTGAATTGTTATTGATCTGCTTCCAGTCTATTAAGACTATTATTTCTTGTATTCATCTTTTAAAACTATCATATCCTATATTTATATAATTTAATCATGCTAAGAGTCCATGTTCTATAAATTTCTCATAAAAGACGGTCAAGTCTTTTTATTGTTTCCCATATTGTAACTTATTGGATTTGAACAATGTGTAAACTTTATATAACCAGTTTTTCCTTAATTTGTTAAGCTTAAAAATCCTAAAAACAAAATTTGGATATAACAATATAAGAATTCAAGATTTTAAGACAGTTGTTCAAGAATACATTATAATCGAAGAGCATGACTATGATGAACTTCTAGTAGTGATTATTATACTTGTGGTTGTGGACGCTGCTGTTGTGATATTGATGCTTGGTTTTTAGCAAAAGTTTTGAACAATAATTTTTGTTTCGTAAAATCATTCTCACGTTGGATTTTACCCATTCGCCAGAAATTTCAGTCAGTTAGGTTGTGGAATCTGTGCATTTTAAGTATGAAATATGTTGCGAATGTACGGTTGTTTTCAAGGGGGAGCCCGAAAGGCCTAAGAGCTATTATGATCGTGGTTAAGTATTTCAGTTTGGGTGCTAGAATATTGAATATCTGATTGGGGCGAAATAAACGTCGCTATTCCTATTTTAATACAGTGATCCTAGTTGATCCAACTGTTGAATCCTTCTCAAAAAAATAATAAATAAGAAAAATAGGTCCTACCGGGAGTCGAACCCAGGTCGCTGGATTCAAAGTCCAGAGTGCTAACCACTACACCATAGAACCGAGATGCTGACTGGAAACTAATTTTAATACAACATGTGCCAACAGCAAATCTCTCAGGTGGTAGTACTAGTTAATTAGAAGATAAGAAGAAAAAAGACATCTGTAAAGAGCGAGAAGACAACAACTACGCAGATTAATGCAACCTTTAACTACAGTAGTGGCCCCCCTTTGGCACCGATGCTTCATGCTGTTGCTGCTCCAATCCAACCACCACCCATGGGAAAATGCAAGAGACGAAAAATGCAGAGAACATATCTGGATTTATATTTGTGCAATGATTATCAAAAACCCGATCGAGTGCGACTGCTATCGTGTTTTAGGAAACCCCAGTGGAATTACACATATTATGGAACCCGGTACGGAGCTCTTTCTATTCGACTGTGGTTTGAAGCGCCTTTCGATGTTTACACTGCCATTTTCGGGGGAGAGATGAATTTGGAACGGGCAATATATATCTGATAGGAAATTTCTAGCACAGGTAAGTAAAATGGTTTGGTAGTGAATGTTATGCTTTCGCTGCGTGATTGTCTGCTATGGTGTTACTAGGGAATAGGGATAGATGGTAGCTAGGGTACTAAAAAGTATTTTCCAATTAGAAAGTCTTCCTTTCACAATTCTGTCTCCATAGACCATGGTCTGTTCATGTTACATTATACATGTTTGTTGTTTATTATTGTTTTTTGAAAACCGTCTAGTTTTTCAGTAAAGATGTATGAAAGGAAAATTCTAATGAAAACTTAATTTAAGAAATATATATATATATATATATATATATATATATATATATCATGTAATTTAATCACAAGAATTAAATAGGTACATTATTCCATATATACATGATAATAATGATAATGATAATATAAATATGATAATGACCGATGTGACGTTGATGATAATAATAATATTAACAGGGGTTATAGTAGTGTCAGATTTATAATGATTGTTATTTTATCAATAAACAATAATGGTTGTAACGAGTAATAATAATATTATGATACAAGTAGTTTCAATAATATCATAATATCAAAGATATTCATAGTATATTTATGAATGTTGTGAAAATAATAATAATAATGTTGTTGGAGTTAATTATAACGATGATAATGTTAAAAAAGATGATAGTAGTGAAAAAGTAAAATATTGTGTTAACTATTTTGGTGGCCGTTGTCATTGCGATGATATTAATTATTGCAGTGATAGTAATATTGATATTATGATGACGATGATGATGATATATATAATGCCTTAATTTATTCTTTCATGGCTAAAGGGTGTATTTAATTTTATGAGAACTTTGAAATTATTGGTATCTAAAGTGCTAAAGCAAAATGCGGCTTTGATCGTGATCTACCATCGATATACTTGAAAAGTATCAACTCGACATGTGTCTCTCATTTAACCATGATAAATGAGACCCATCCACCACAAATATGATTATACAAGATCCCGTATGGTGAACGAGGATTCATCCCTTCTTGCATTGCTACTCACCTCTAGATCAGACTCACTTTCTATAGAACGAACAAATTAATGATAAGTATTGCTCCACGTACACATTAACTCTTAAAGAGACGCAACTTATGTCATAAGAAACATTTTCTTATGAAGATCGCCAAACATCTATCAGAAGTCGTTATATAAAGAGTAACACCCAATTATCCTAAATGGAAGGATGATTACACCCTTCACTTCATGTAAGTTGGCTTTGACATCCATTATAAAAGAATGAATCCTAGATGATCATGAAAGGCTTTGCTTCTCTATTCACTGAACAATACTGCATAATTACCGTATATTTTCTTCATTTATATAGAATATAACTCAACACAAGTCCATTCAGACAATACTCACTAAAAATATACAGTTAAACCTAATAAGATTAAAATTGTCTTCTTCATATGCTAACTTAGTAATTAGAGGATCTTCCATAATCTAAGAGGAAGACTTTTTTATGCATATACCTATTCCAAAACTCCAAGGCAAGGATAAATCACCAACGCATGATCAATCAAGGAAATGATTAATCCAACCGTTCATACAATTGAGAATCTACTACCTCATTAACTGCGATCTCCTAATGATATGAATTTTGATGGCTGATATCCATCTTTTAAGTGCACGGTCATATATTGCACGAGTTTGCTCTGAAGTTTCTTATGCATTACCTGATGCAACGAGTTCTCATATACTTGCTCTCGCAGCATCTTCTTGAACAGAACTCATTTGCTCAATTATTGAATTCAACTAATCATCGAGCACATGCATCTATCAACTACGTAGGCACTCGAAACCCTCAAATATCTTAACGTAGAAGAACCAAAAGTAAGTGAACCTGGAGTTGCAACAAATCATCACAAAGTATCCTTTATATATTAATTGTTTTCTCTTGTGGTATGACAATATTGGGGCAGCATACATATCTTGCAATCCAGTTTTTAAGGCCTAGGCAAATTAAGCACATTGAAATCGACTTTCACTTCGTCATAGAGCAGGCAGCAAACACTAACAATATTAAAGTTCAATATTTCTCTAGCAAAGATCAGTTAGCAGATACACAAAGCCACTTTTGCTAGTGCTAGGTTTTTACTTCTCAAAGACAAGCTTCGCCGTTATGGCCAACAATGCTTAGCTTGAGAGTGGGTGTTAGAGATATTATTTTGATCATATCTTATTGTCAGTAAGAATAGTTCAAATTCAATTAAGATTAAGAAGTAGTTATATATAGATAATAATAGATTAGTATTTTGTCTTATAGTTCAAAATTCTTTCTGTAATCTGTATTTATACTCAATAGAATCAATGAATATGAGGTTAATTTTCTGCTCTCCACCTTTTTCAATTGAAACCGAGCACATCAGAACCCTAGTTAGAAGGAACTGAGGGGAGATTTCACCACTATTTTTGGGCCAATATTACTGGAAAGATTATGTTCTTAATGTAATGGCAAGTAGGTGACCGGTAATTAACTTACAAGATTCAGTCTACTGAAAAGTTTGCTGATAAATTTTATCCTTGCATATAAGGTATCTTGACCAAGTAGTGGTCTACTAGGGTATTAATTAGTGAAAGAAAAATGTAAGTTGGTTCTTTATAGGGACATTCACAGAATCTCATCAAAAAATTCATGAGTGTTGAACAAATTGTATATATTAGTTTGACTAAAAAAAGTGAAAATGGTTTAATAAAGTCTATGATCATGGTTTAATGGACTCTAAAATAATGTCCTAGAGAATTATATGCTTGCAGAGAATCAAATGCTTTATTCTCTTTTTTCATAGGAATTATGCTTTTTGGCTCTCTTCCTGCGTTCTATGTTTTGTTCTGTTCTTTTCGGTAGTCAATAGTATGCTTTTTGGCTCACTCAATAAAGCAAATTATCAGAAATGCTTTGGAAACAGAGAAGGTAGTGAAAGACACCACACTGGTTAGCTAAACCCTATAAATATGTCTCACATTTTGTACGTGTAAGATATCATGAGCATCCACATATATAATAATAATTATTATAGAAAACTTAATGTACCTCATTTTGGTTTGTTCTGCTATATATATCATTGATTTGATGAAACACTATTCCTCATTTCCACATAATATCATTTTGGAAAAATAGAACTATATATGAGTGCACGCAGTATAAGTACCGCAAGAAAAATATTATTGGGGAAACTGTGACAGCACAAGATATAAAATACGGGATAAAGCAAATGGTCTATTAGATTCAAGATTGTGCATTGCACACAGGTGGTGCACGTATGAATTCTCTTCTTGCGAATCTGTGTGCGAGAACAAGCGTTTCATGTGCACACATGTTTATTTTATGAGGCAACCATGAATAGTTTGCTAGAAGATCTGCCAATTATGGATGGATGCAGATTCATATATTTGCTAAATTTTTGAGAGAATTTAATACTGTAGACCGTGGTTGGTAAATGGAATATAATCTTATATCAGCCATTAGCCCTTTGTCAGCCCTTTTGTACAGGTGGTTGGCCCCTCATTCAACATGATACCAACTGTAGCTGGCAGGTATTTGTGTGTTGATTTGGTTAACCGTGTTAGTTTCTTGTTGATAAGGATACTTATGATGGAGAAGCAAGTTTTATAACTCTTTGGCATGTTTTGCCACAACAGTCAACAGTGTAGGTGATTGTTTTTTAGTAAGGATTAAATAGGGTCTTTGGGCTGCCGTTGTGAAGATGAACAAAAGATTTGACACTCAAGAGGCTGCTTTCTTTGCATTCTAACAAAGGTGGTGTGGGGTGGAACTCGAAACCGAAGAGCCTGGAAATAATGACCAATCACATTCTACTTGTATAGAGGTTACTGTTGCTGATGTGAAAAAAAATTCTCAGAACAATCTTCAAATTTCAGTGTTAGGCACATAGTTTTTTTAAAAAAGCCATTATGTAAAGTAATGGTCATTATATAATAATAACGAGACATTTCATTATTGTTATTTGACGTTATAGATACTCCGATATTGTTTCACGTATATAATGTTGTTATTATTATGTAATGCCTTTGCTATTATATAACGTTGTTACAAAAATTTAATTTTTTTTTTAAAAAAATCAACAGTTGAAATTCAGCCGGAGACTGAGACAAGACCAAAGTGGTTGAGACCGATTTGCAACGTGATTAATTTAGAGAATAAGAATATTTGTAAG